TGTCTGAACTGTCTGACTTGTAAAATTTAGCCCATGCAAATAAATGTCAGCTTATCTTAAGAGTAAAGTAATACTTTAAAAACTAATACTATTAAACTGCCTTTAACCTTTTGCTGTTAGGATTTTTTTTACGTGGACTTGGACTTCTAGGAATTCCCCCTGGTCTCTGGGTAGTGAGATCGGACGCTAGTCGTCGGCATTGTTGCGCACGTAAACAATACAATTCCTTGCAGTTGGCAGTTGGTGGAAATCGAAAAGAGTAGCGCTGCCTGTGCAAAATTTGCAGTTAAAAATCTACCCAAAGTACTTCAAGATCCTTGTCGGTGCTACTAGCCTGTGCACTGGGCTAAGCTTCTTCGGACTCAGACTTGAGTTAGAAAAAGAACGGAGCACTTATGACTATACTTATACAACGGTAACAACGCAGTCAGCAGGAACTTTACATGTGTAGATTATTATTATGATGTGTATTTTGGCCCCAGACAGAAACAAATCCATAACTCATTCATTACAGTAGGGTTGCTAATGAAGTTTTCTATATTGGGTGTTTACTTATGAAACCATCACAGCTGGATAGAGATTAAAATATAAAATTTAACGAAAGACCACACAAGAATAAAAGGCTACAGAATGATCACACTCTAGAACACTATAGGAAAACTCATGGAAAAAATCGTGGCCAGAACGTTGACCTAAACATTAGAATCTGGTGGTCTATTCCCCGCTACACTAGGTGGTTACTGACCGGAAAGAGATACATGGTGCAATGCTGCAGTATTTGCCTACAACACATAAGAGGTTTTCCACGAGGGAATGGAAATGGCTACAGCCGCTATTGACTTAGAAGATGCGTACAACAGCGTCCCATACAACATGCTCATCAGACTGCTGTTGGATATGCAGATAGAAAAAAAATGGGTCAACTGGATCTCAGCAGTGCTATTTGAAAGTACAGTGTCGCTTCAATGGGGTGAATGGGCATCAAAACCTCAACGCGTCCTAATGGGTCTGCCCCAGGATTACCATTGTCGCCTGTGCTCTTCAATGTGTACACAGCGGGAGTCACGAGTGCACAAAACGTAAGCCTAGGCAATGTCATTTGCAGATGATATCCTTGTTTACCATCGAGGTAAAAACAGGCACAAAATTACAACCACGCTATAACACAAACTAGACATAGTGAGAGGTGCCAGGAATCAGGAGCTCAATAGAACCCATCCAAAGCCTCTCTGAATACCCACATTGTCAGTACACCAACGCCAGTCATAAGCACGTGTGGTGTGGACATCGAGAGAACGGACACCATGAAATACCTGGGCATGACATTTGACAGATGCTTGTCATACAAATGCCACATAGACAATGTCATACTTAGAGCCAGGAAAGGTCTGACACCACTCAAGGTGCTAGCAGCAGCTAACATTCAACAACATCTACTTTTCCTTCTCTATCAAGGTCTTGTATTAAGTGTAATTGACTATGGTCTTGGCCTCCTCACTGTCAGCAATACCCAGCTAAAAACCGGACAGAGTGCAAAATGAGGCCATGAGACTCCTACTCGGCTGCACAAAAGACACCTCCTGCAACCCCATGCATTATGTCCTAGGTTTACCGACGATGACTAGCAGATACAAAGTCACACAGGTCAAGGCGTACATGAGGGTATCGGCAGACGTTAACCACCAACTGCAAAGGCTGAGGATTTAACCCAGCAAGTATGTGACCTGGACATGAATGATCAGTCATGGAAAAGAATGGACGAAAACACCAGTAGACATGCATGGCATCTCTAAGGTTGTCATCACACTTGGAAGGTACTGCAGGGATCAGATTCTTGCGGCCGTAGACACAGAAGTAAGGAAACTGATAGATCAGCATTCAGACCCAGAATATATCATCATCTACATAGATGGATCCGTAAAGTGCGGATCAATGTCAGCATGGGCATACACAGCGCAAGGGGGGAGGGGGGGGGGAACAATACAGAAGGACAGCAGTGCTTACCAAACAACCATGTCAAGCATGACCATGGAAATAGCCGCTGCTTCTAGAGCATTAGCATGGGTATCTGAGCAAACCACCACACAGGCAGTAATTGTATTAAACTCCATTAATATCATCAGAAGAAAGCAACAGGCAGTATGCGCTCTGAATGGGTAGAAAGCCTCCGAAAATCGCACTCTACCTCCCTCACCTGGATCTACACACCTGGTTATGCAGGCATAAAGGGAAATGAGCGAGCGGACCAGCTGGCAAGAACTGCACTAAGGATTGCGGGAAAAAGCATGAACAGAGCAAATCATGGTGAAGCACGTCTATGCCGTCTTTGAGGCCGAGATAGGATACAATATAAACAGCTTCTCATGGGAACAATAAGTAGAAGTACTTTGAAGTGGCTGCTGCATCGGAGGACTGAGCACGCATGGGAATGCCCAATGTGCAGTGACGTTGATTGACATTAAACATAATATAACGATACCACCGTGAAGCCTGTAAATCTAAGCTAACAATAGATGGATGCTAAGTTGCCTCTCAGACTAAAAGACAGGTGGAAATGACTACATTTCATTTATGCAATAATGGCAACAACTATTATGTTGTTTAATGAACCCCTATAGGCTTAGTGGAAATAGGTGTCTGACTAAAACCCTGTCCTCTACTTCATCTTTGTCTCCACCACTGCCGAATCATAACTTTAGTCATTTCCCCAAAGTTCACCTGAGGCATCCACTGTAATATTAACAACAGTATATAACAGTCTGGGAGACAGACAAATCTATTGTCTGAGACACATATTGAAATGTGGTTTCAAGGAAGATACCACAGCGAAATATAATTTTTATATGTGGCCTTTTTAAGGGAATCAATTGTAAAAAAGTATTCACAGCAAACTCCAGCAAAAGTTTTCTTTTACTGATTGTCACAATAAAGAAATCCGCTATAACTTGGGTCACCAATATGACTGTTAAATAAAACATTTGTAATTGTAAATGGCAAATGAAAATGTAACCCATATATTGATCACAGTTTGGTAGAAGTTAACACTTCATTTATAATAGACACGTGAAATACAGAAAGTGTTTGTGATTTATAGTAGGGCTGTACCAAAAATTCGCTTCATATTCGCTTCGGGGCCGAATAGTAGACCTATTGACTATTCGGTATTCGGCCGAATAGTTGCGGTCGGGCCAAATCCGAATGGTAGTTACCTTACACATGCTTCTGCATACAAGGACCTTAATGCTGACTACATGGAACGACTGGTTTTGTTGAAAGCTAATGCAGCTTTCCTGCATTAACTAGGCTGTCAGCAACAATTTCCAAGTTTAGTTACTTGTTATAATACTTAGGATTTTTTCATTCCTAGTTATTACTTACCACAGACTGACTGCAGCATGCAAAACATAAAATATTTTTAAATGTTTACTATTCTGTACGAATACTAACTAGACATGGAAAGAATATAAACTCCGGCCACATCCAAGTCGATAAATCAAACGTACGGAAACATAAGTGCTTGGGTGCAAACTTCAACTGCTTCAGCATGCTGAGAGAAGAAATATAATCTAGAATACAATCTAGAAATAAAGTATAATATGCCCTTCAACATCTGCTAAAGTCAAAGTGTCTATCTCGCAACACCAAGATCAAAATATATAAAACATCTATAAGATCTGCCGTTTTATATGGCTCTGAAACTTGAAGCAGAAATAAAAGAAATGAAGCCTTTTACAGGTTTTCGAAAACAGTCTTATGACAAATCTTTGGACTCATCAAAGATGCTAACAGCGGGGAATGGAGAGTGAAAAGCAACAACGTAACACATTTCTGTTTAATCTGTTGATCACTGGCATCATGAGAGCTAACAGACTAAAATGGTTGGGGCATATTGAAAGCATGTCAGATGACAGAGAAGTAAAAACTGTATACACCTTAAAGAGGAATGGGCGTAGACCATGATTCAGACAAAAAAGAAGTTCGAGAGATAATGTCCAGCCCACTGTGTGTGTTCCGGGGCTCTATTGTGGGGAAAACAAGAATAGACCCACTGCCTCCCCAAAAGCATGTCGTAAGAGTCGACTAACTGGGGAGCTTCCTTTGAAGTCGGAGTGCATCTGCCTGAGAGGCAAGGAACCAGCAGTCTACATTCAATTGAATCAGATCTGTAAAACTGATGCACATGCAACACTCAGGTTCTGGAGCAGGACTGCAGTCCAGAAGTGGACAAACAACCCGAACTTTACGCCAGAGTGTACAGCTGGTGAATGCGAAGAAGAATAAGAAGATAATGTCCAGCCAGACCTACAAACAACTGGTGTCACAAATTGTGAAGATAAGGCCAGCCAGAGAGATGAATGAAGACGAGTGATATCTGCAACAGTAAACCTCAAGGGCTCAGAATGCTGAAGAAGAAGATGACTATTCTGTGCTACTTTATGTCAAGTAAAAGTTCAGCGTACATTTGACATGAATATGTGTGTGTGTGTGTTTTTTTTAATAGATATATTTTATACACTTTTCATATTCGTATTCAGCCGAATAGTAAAAATGGGGCCCCGGAACCCACACGGGGATAAACTAATAATGATAGTTATGATGTGTTATTAAAGTTTATGATTGTGTATGCATGAATTTAAAAAAAGCAAATCTTGACATAAGTATCATCAGATAATAGCATATATAAGTAGGGGAGTTGAATTTTAAATTGATTATGTTATCTATCAAAATGATAAAAAAAAAATATTATATCTTTATTGAAAGCAGTGTTTCAAAAACAGATCTTTTTCTTGTCTTTAGGCTCTTCTCTCATACAAACACATCAATACATTAGACAAATTTGCTAGATAATTAACACACATTGTGAGAATTGTTTTGTGACATTTTGGGAGGGGGAAGGGGGGGGGGGGGTCCTGGTTTCCACACCCTAGCATGATAATGTCACCAGTGATTTTTCCAATGATATTTTTACAGTTCAGTAAAAGGAGGCAAAGCTCACCAGAATGCCTGGAGATAAAGTTACTTTGACTAATGCTTTAGAAAATGTGGACGTTCTTGATGACCTACCTCTACCAGATCAACAACCATGCATTGAAGCACTGTCACTCTCAATCCATTACCGAGCCAATTTTGACACAAATTTTGAAGACAAGAATGCTTTCGTTACCAGTGTTGCAAAATACAAAGAGCAAGCTACTGTTCAAGCAGATCTGGTAAGAGTAGCTTATTGTTAATACCTTGTTGTTTATTTAATTGTGCCTGGGATTCTACCCTTTGGCTCAGTGCCATGTAGTTAAACTTAAAAGTATTTAATAAAATGTTATGTTATTCCATTGGAAATGTCCCTTTCATCTTGCTAAGCTAGAAGTAATGTTTTTTTTAAAATTATATACTTGGTACCCAAAAAGATGTTTGACACTGATAAAAGAATCTGGAAAGTGAACACCATAAAGAAATCAATAGGAATCTCTTCAGATGTATGTTAAGGGATGTGTCTGAGGTTTGAAAATCAGTTTTTCTTTTTGTATTTTGGATCAGAACCAGGCATATATTTATATACTTCCATCTCATTGAGTCTCCAGGGATCCATCCAATAGCCAAGCTTCATTATGTGAAATTTTCCTCACCTGTCTGGCTTTTTGAGACTGATTTATGCAGATTTTCTTGATATTCATGTCTATATTCCTTTCACACCAGTTAGTCTGCCTTACCTTTACTGTGCATATTAGTGTTAGTCCTAGTCGAGGTTTCAACTTCACTGCAATCGGGTTTTCCCATGCAGATCAAATGAAATGTCCCTCTCTGAGTGTAATAAATGGTTTGTATTTCTACTCGTTGTCTAGGTAGTGTTCATGCGTGTGTGGTGGATGATATTCTCACACGCTCCACGTTACACAACTGGCACAAGCCGACACCGATGTGAGCTTACGAAACATGAATTTATTGACGTATTAAGACTTACGACAAACGAATAGTCCAGTCGGTGTCCTAGTGAACAGCTTTCGTACACAAACTCACGCAGCCTTCAACGAACAGTCTTCTGCAGGCATTCAAGCAACGATGGGTCCCATGGATTCAACATTGATGTTTGGACATCTCACACGCTGGCATGGTCGATCTCAGCTTAACACTTCGTCGGCAGGTCTCCTTTCTCCTCAGGCACTCACGTAGACATTCTCACATTCAGTCGCTCCTCCTCCTCTCACTCCAACAGGTCGACACAAACTCCACTTGACCAGAGTCAAGTCTGACTTATACTACGGGTTCCTTTCACGTGACAACACGTGGTGGTCCTTTACTTTTCCCGTGGCGACCTTGGGTCGCATCACCGTGGTCCCCGTGATAACTAGTGGTTAGTCATCTATCTCCAGATTCTCGTTTAATCCAAGTATCTGGACTATCTCAGTGTTTTCGGTCAGCTTTGGGCCTTCCCCCCAACCATCCTAAACTGGGTCGAAAATATCCCCCATTACACTGAGGCATTTGAAAAATGGTGAACACACAATTGGTCCTGGAACAGTCAGAAAAATGTGTATGCATTAAAAGCAAATTTTAGTTGCCAAGTGCGCCAAAGTCAACAGTCACCACCAGAAATGCAGTTTATTGTTGATGGAAGTAGTCAGGCATGATAAGGTGGCTACAATACACACATAGAATTTCCTCAGCTCACACGTAAACCAGCTACCAGCCATATTGAATACTATGACTCAGCTGCTGGACAAACAAAAGGCATTTCACAGGAAAACAGCTCATGGGGCTGCACCAAGCACTAAACTCAGTAGCTCAAGCACCAAAACCATTCTGTTAGTTAGTTAGTTAGTTAGTTAGTTGGGTTATCCTCAATGCACTCCGGACATGTCCATAGGTGCTCAGATCCTCCCCTCAGTATGAACCCCAACGTCCGATGGCTAATAGTACCAGTTCTATGTTGATTAACAAGTCTTCTGGCTGGTGTGCGTCTCGTTTTTTGCTGTGCCGATCTTAATTCCCAAGTCTGCCATTCTGGCGAGTGATGTGGATTCACTGCCACCAAAGTCCTCTATTCTTCCCATTTCTCTGAGGGCATTGATAATATCAGCATGATCCATAGGCTGACCGTCGGTAGTGATAGCGGATCCAGCCAACCTGTCAGCTCTTTCATTTCCATTGACGCCTGCGTGTCCCGGAACAAAAATAAAGGTGACTCCACGAACAGTGGACTTCTGTAATGATTCAAGCCATTGTCTTCGCACTGAACCTGCCTGAACCCTCCGGATCATACTCATTGAATCACTGAGTATACACACGCGGGTGTAGTTTTGTGTTTCAAGCCAGGCAAGCGCTTGTGTCACTGCCATCACCTCCATCGTCATGCTGCTGGTTGTCATGGAGAAGGCGCCGTTGGCTTCTTTGACTGTTCTGCCCGCTGAGCGTGCTGTAAATGCCCATGCGCTTCTTCTTTGGTGTATAACGGATCCGTCTGTATAGATTATTGCATCTGCTTCGTCTGAATTTTCACCGATGAGAGCGTTGACCTCTGCATTAACAGCAACAGGATTCTCTTCTCTACATCGCCTGTTGAGTGTGACAATACAGGAAAATGTAAAAATAAACGCCTGAGGCACAGGTATCCATTCTGCACCAGGTATGATGTCGGTTAGGCTGCATATTTGCCTAATAACATCTTCTGCCCGACCTAGCCACGATTTCCCCCTCTTCAGTCTGTCGCCCTTTTCACTAAAAAGCGCTTGATGCAGTGGGTGTTTCTTATCAGCGCATATTTGAGATATGCCCGAGCCCTCCACATCCTGATCCTTTGGTTCATTGTTGGAAAGTCAAGTAGATACCTCATTGCTCCACAGGATGTGTCTCTAGTACATCCCAAAATAATGCGCATGGCTTCATTTTGCACCTTTTCGAGTCGTTCAATCTGGGTAGCACTGACAGTGAGGATGGCCAGAGCGTATTCAATGGGGGAAAGGACCAGACCGTAGAATAGAAGTATTAGTAGTCTTTGCTCAATATTGGAAGCAGCCATAATCCTCATTGCAGATAGACCTTTGCGTGCTTTTGTTATCACATGGTCAACGTGTTTCCTGAATGACAAGCTGCGATCGAACCTCACCCCGAGAAACGTCATAACGTTGGTTCTGATCAATACATTATCACGCATTTTCACTTCTGGTAAGTCTGACTTGACAATGTGATTGTTCAAAGAGAACCATGACACTGATGCCTTCGAAGGATTGACATAGGCATTGGAACCATCACACCAGGCGGCAATTCGATCGAGTTCTTTGTGCATAGTGCTGGCGATCTCCTGTCTATCACGCCCTCGTCGATAAATCAAAATGTCATCAGCAAATGACAAAGTCCTTCCCTTTCCATTCAACTGCTGCTCAGTGATCATCACCGTGTAAACGTTGAATAAGACTGGTGATAGCGGTGATCCCTGTGGCAAGCCTGGACTTATCGTTTGCGGTTCGGAGGACCAGCTACCACATCTTAGTACAATCTTTCTCTGGAACAGGACTGCAGCAATCCAGCGGATACCATTCTGTGCAAATTCGAACACCAGGGATCCTTGCATGGTTAGTCTAGTGTTAGGTTGCAGTTAGTTAACCTGTTAAGTTCAACCTCATTTTTCCTAGAGTCAAGAAAGCAGACTGAATCTGATAATAATAATTAGGGGCATGTTAATGACAGGCTTCATTAAGTCTTCAGATATAATACAACTATTGCAGTTATATCAGTCAAGTGCAGGTCAAGATCAGCATGGGCATACACAGCACAAAGGTTGGAGAAAACAGTAAAACAGAAGAGTGGCACTTACAAGACAGCTGCGTCAAGCATGACCATAGAGATAACTGATTTTTCCAGAGCATTCACATGGGTAGCAGAATAAGTGGCCACACATTTGGTAATCGTTCCAGACTTCATGAACACGCTTCAGAAAATCTCAACAAGTAGTTTATGCTCTGAATGGGTAGAGGCTTTAGGAAGTGGCATGTAACCTCTGTCATATGGATTCACACAGCTGGGCATGCAGGAGTAAAAAGGCAGTAAAAGAGCTAACCAGCTGGCAAGTAGTAATACATCAATGCAGATGGGAAGAAGCATGGACACAGCTATCATCATTGCTACTGGACTAGGTTGGGGAATACTGTTGAATCTCTGATGCTAACACGACTGCATAACCTGTGAGTTAAACCTGGTGAAGCACATCTCTACCATCTTCGAGGTTAAGACATGAGATACTACGACCAGCTTCTCATGGGCACAAACAATAGAAGTACCTTGGAGTGGCTGCGGTATCGGAGGACTAGTCAAGCATGGGAATGCCCAGTGTGCAAAGACGATTGTGAAAACATAAGTTATGTCAGTCTCCTAATTTGAGCATGCCTCTGCACATGCTTTAAAGAGTTCCTTTAATGAACGGTTTTGGGCATTGTATGAAACCTCTATAGTCCACTTTGACAATAGTGTTAATGGATGACCCATCAATATATTCATGTCTTTAGTCTTCCAGATAAGAGTAAATGGTTTCTTGACATGCACATTAAAGCATATTTGGGTTGACAGTATGTGTGTTTCCAATTGTTGATGTATAGATATAGGGTTTTTGCAGATAAATAAGTAGTGATCTCACTGTTCTTCTCCTTCTACTACTCCTACTACTACTATGTAGGTTTCTGTTCTTCTGTCTCTTTGTATTTTGATACGTATAGTTCTTTCTGATACATACCTGATGTCTAAAAAGTTACCTGCAGTCTTATGGTCAATGATGAAACCTACTCCATGTTTGACACGTTGAGTCTAGTCTATACCAATACAAAATCTTTGTATAACCTTTCTGTCCCTTTTCCCTCCAATCTTAACTTTGCCAAACCTAAAATCTTCACTTGGTGATTTTCCGTAAGTTATATAGTCTCCTCTGTTTTTTTGCCTCAGCCACATATATTTAACATTTCTACTCTATAGGGTCATTCGTTGAACTTAGTTCACACAATCTCACATCTCCTAAATTTTTCTTGGGCATCACCATGTACAGCTTCACTTGTTCTTGTTCCTGGAGGTGATATCTCTGGATATTATAACGTAACCCGTTAGGCTAATGGAAGTGTATTGATGGAAGCACTAGCCCATAAAACCCGCCATCTTTCTCTATCTTCTGTTTGATGAATAAATGTATGATAACTTAGTCCTGTCCATTTCTTGATGTTATAATTCCAGGTTCTTCTTTTCCCTGCTCTCCTTCGACTACCCCCCAGTGTTCCTTGAAGTACAACCTTTGCAATCGAATCATGTCCCACCACATGCCCAAACCAAGGTAGCTTGCGACGTTTCACCACTGCCAACAGAGGGTCCTGATGTCCAGCAAATTTATAAATTTTGTCGCTGACATATTTATTAGTTGTGTTCTAAATAACTAATTCGTAAAATACGTTTGTAGCCGATTATCTGTCATAATATTATTATATATTATCAAGCGCGAACGCGCTTCTTAATGCTGGAGTGCCAGGTTCGATCCCCAGAAGATTTGTCTTGCGCTGGTTTTGACAGTGGTACCGAGAGCTGACCATTCAGTAAGCAGTGGCAAACTACTGAACGTAAAATTTGCTGGAAAAACCACAACAGCCAATAATGCTGGGGTTAGTTCTGCAACGTCCTGTAAAGGATTCGCAACTAACATTTTATAGACACATTGTAATACAGGTTGTTGTTGTGTTGTGTTTGCTTATGGGTTCTGAGACCTCACTTTTGGGGACAAGACAAGAATTCCATACCCTTTAACAAGCATGTCATAACAATGTTCACAGGAGTGGAAAGCAGTGCATTTTTGGCTCTGTGTTTAGTGATTCCTTAATCCCCTTACCTAAAGACACATTTCTTTGCTGCTCTACTTCTTCTGGTTTCTTAAAGTAGAATTTATTTTTTAATGAAACTTTAAAATGGGTAATTTAAAAAAAAAAAGATTTTTACAGGATGAAAAAATTAAAGCCTTGAAGTGACTTTTACTCCAGGCCAAGGTTTACTTATGCACTTTCTGCCTATGGACTGAAGTCTATGGTTTCGTTGCCTAAGCTACTGAGTTAAATGCTTAATTTATCCTTGTGAGCTGTGTATTTATTGTGGAATGCCTTTCATCTGTGCCCTCTCAATGTGTATTGCGGGTGCCCATTCTGGGTGCAAAAAGATTAGACATACTATCACCTAACAAACATGTCATAACTCAAACGAGGCAAATCCTGGATGGGTCGGGGGCTGAGGCCATCAAACATGTTTTCTGCCTTACTGACATTAATTTTGGAATTGAATGGATAATTATGCCTCCTTCCCCAAACATTAATATTACAGTCCACATCACACTTTATTGAAGCTGTAGAGAGCAGATTCCTGGCATTGTTGACACTTTAGTCAGAACACTGACGAAAACAGAGATGAAGGTGATGCTAGTTTTAGTTTACACAGATGGGTCAGTTATTGGGGGCAAGCGACGTGCATGGGCATTCACAGAAAGCTCAAGGTGGAAAACCATCAAAGAGATATATGGCGCCTATGCTGTTACAACTAGAAGCCTTACAATGGAAACTAAGGCTGTGACAAGGGCATTAGCATGGCGTGGTACTCAAAAGTTCACACACATATGTATTCTTAGTGACTCGATGAAAATGCTTAAAAAAATCCAAGGATTTGTCACCAATCACTAAACATGTCATAGGAGCTGATTAATTACAGGCATTTAATTCAGTTGGATTACATCTGCATGAGAGGCGTGGAACCAACAATCTTCATACAAATAAGCCAGATCTGTCAAATGAATATGCACACAGAGGACCCAAGCATGGAATAAGACCAAAGTCCAGAAGTAGATTAACAATCATAACTTTCTGCTGGAGTTTACAGCTGATGAACGCTAAGAAGAAGAAGATTTATGTCCACATTGTTTTTTGTTGTGCTATTCAGAAATTGGATTGAGGCCTGTTTGTGTCTTGCTGTCTAAGAGCATTATGCAATAATATTTCATGTGTATGGCTAACCTCTCATGACCATCTATTTCCATCAGGAACAAATAGCAATAGTGATGCAACTGTTGTTGTTGGCCTAATGCAGTTACTGTCTGCATATTTCTAAGTTTTGCTAGGACTAATTGTTTACTAGTTTTTAATGGGACAGTGAGGGGCATTTCCACTACAGTTTTTATTATGGCTAACTTTCTATAATTTAAAAGCTGATAGAATTATCTGGAAAGTGTTGTACTTTAATTTTAAATCACCCCAAACAAAGGAAACCCGGGAAAGTCCAGTATTCTGTGGGTGTTATGGTTTGAAATAAATCTAGTTGGACAATACAAAAAGAATGCTTGTGTGCCCTGGCACGAAAAGGAAACTGATCTTTGTCAACCCCGGCACCTCAGAAACACAGACTAACCCTAACCCAAACCCTTAACACCCCTAGAGTATTGAACATTCCCAGGAACTCCAGGATTTCCATTGTTTGGGGTGAATTAAAATTAAAGTACTGAACAAAAAGACCCTTTTCCAAGCCCTTAGGCACATTGGAGATATTTATTTATACATGCCCCCGTACACACACACACACACACACACACACACACATATATAGATATATATGTATATATAAATATATATATATAAATATATATATATATATATATATATATATATATATATATATATATATATATATATATATATATATATATATATATATATATACAGGCATTTATGTTCTATATTTATATTTATGAATAATAATACATACATATGTGTGTGTGTGTACGGGGGCATGTATAAATGTGTGTGTTTGTGTATGTTTTTTGTGTTTATTGTTTACTTTTACTCAAGTTGTTTTTTCAGTAGTTTCCTTTTCCTATGTATTTATATCCTTATGCTAAAAATGTAGTCATGCATTATCTTAAAAAAGTTATTCATGTGATATATGATTACATTTTGTTGTCAGCACATTGTATTGTAGCATATCATATAACATTCATAGAATCTGCTGTTGGAGGAGGGAGAGACATATGCAGTAATGCTGTACACATGGAGATGCTGTTCCCGTGCCATTCCACAGGTCTGTTTACTTAAACAAAAAATTTTTTTTTTTAAATATTAAACTGAAAAAAATAAAAACAAACTGTTTTCCATGTGTTTAGGCATACTGGGAGTTGGTTCCATATTTTTACAGACCATTTGCCACTCAGTAGGTGGCATGGTCAATACCACAGTGATGGCCTTTAATTGAATACTTTTCTGGTACCATTTTTAGCCTAGGTTGACCTGGAAGTTGACTGACTTTGCCATAAGGGCTCAAATGCCTTGCTCAATAAATTCTGCAGTGTGCAGTAGCTGCATATCAGTTCTGTGTTGATTTCTCATTCTTCTTTGGCTTCCTGCATAGTGCTCTTGTCTGGCCAAACCCCTTTTTAACTTTCTGTTCTTGCAGTCTGGTCGTGGTTGCAGATTCACAGTCATCACTTGTTTTTCACAAATGCCTTACTTCTTATACAATATTCAGTATATCAGCATGGTTTGTGGCTTTCCGCCTTCCAAAGCAGTTTACCTGCAAACCTATCAGCTTGCCGATTTCCTTGCATGCCGGCGTGCTCTGGCACAAATATGAAACTGACATTTGTCAGGTTTCACCACTTTAGGGTTCGTAGCCAACCTGAAATCTTGAATTTAGCCTGTAAATTGTGGTCCTGACCTGGGACCTTCAATTTTACCTGGGAAAAGACAAGCTGATCTTGAAAAAGATATATCTACCTAGAATTTTGACCATGGCAGTAGTAGAAAGGAAGTAGAACGAACCATTATGGGAAGACCTGCCATTTTCCGTAGTTAGGCAATGTTTGGCCATTTTGATTTTTTTTAGCCACCTTCGTTGTAAATGTTTATGGTTGTTTCCGGTACAAGGGCAGTTGATTATCGGCCATTTTCAGCTGAATTGGCTTGTTAAAAGCTAGGGAATGGCGGGCAATATTGCAGTTCATGGAATCACACAAACTGTAGCGCACGGCATGGGGGGGGGGGGGGGGGGGGGGGGGGGCAGGAAGCAGCTGCTGCCTTCTATGATGTGTGTGTTTGTTTCTAGAAACAAGGATTACTTTGGGAGATGGTGGGGCTAAGCAAAGAGACGTCAACTGGATTTCCAAGCTCTGTTTTTGGTCCGGTTTATCTTTACAGTTTGTTTGCTAATCAACATTGTAATTCTCTCTTAGCTTCCCTCTTCTTTTCTCTCTCTCTCTCTCTCTCTCTCTCTCTCTCTCTCTCTCTCTCTCTCTCTCTCTCTCTCCCCCTTTCCCTCATGCTACCTCTTGCCCCCTCTTTCCCATCTCCTTCATTATCTCTCTTCCTTTCCTCTGATCTTCTTCTCTTTCTATCTTTCCTTTTACTCTCTCCTTTCCTGTCTCCCCTCCCATCCCCCCCCCCCCCCCAGTTTGTTTTCTTGCTCACTAAATGTGTTGCTCTATAACTGTATTTTCCTAGTAACTGTGTCCAGTACACAAGAAGTTGTGTTGGGGGAAAAGGGGGGGGGGGGGGGGGTGTCAGCATGAGCCTGGTGCAATTTTTTTTTTTTAATGACAGTTTTGTCTTTTGATGTGTTATATTTGTTAGTGGGTCTTAATCTCTATCCTTCTTCCTACTTAACCTCTCACCTTTTGTCCTACTTTTCCCTCACTCTTTGTCATTGCCTTCCTCTATCTTTATATTTGCTGCTTTCCGTCACTGCCTCTCTCTCTCTCTCTTTCTCTCTCCATATCTTCAGTTGGTGTAGGAAGTTTGTTTTGCCCAGTGCATTTCATGTTTACCACCCCCCCCCCCCCCCCCCAACATTACATGTATGTGTAATTTTAAAAACATATTTGCCATCACCCTTTCTTTTTTTCTCCACAGTTATGACACCTGGGAGGGGGTGGGGGGCCTCACCCGCTTCCTGCTACCTTCTATCTATATCTCTTTTTTCTTTCTCCACATTTTTCTCTCCCTGTCTCAGTCCGACTTTCTTTCCTTAATCTGTACTGTCTCTCCGTCTGTCTGTCTCTTTCTCTCTCTCTCTCTCTCTCTCTCTCTCTCTCTCTCTCTCTCTCTCTCTCTCTCTCTCTCTCTCTCTAACTGTTTTCATCTTCTCTGTCTCCCCTTTTCCATCTCAGCTTTCTACACCACCTTCCACCACCTCCTTTCCCCTCTTCTTTCTGTAATTAGAGAGTCAGAAATAAAACAAAGTCCACTCTTTACCCTAACCTATTTTATTGTATCCTGCTCTATTTTCCACTAGTGAGGGTTGGGATTCCTGACTTTAAAAAAAATGACTTTGGCTCCCAGGTCCACCAGCCTTGAGTGTAAGAAATGGAAATATTGTAGTCACATGCGGACAGACAGGCTTGGGGTGGGAGGGGTCAGCACCATTGTTTATGGACCACAGCCACATTTACATTGGGAGAGAACGGGAAAAGGTGACCTCACTTAGACTTCCAAATTCTATATTTGGCACTCAGTGTTCTTAACCCTATCAGACCGCTGGCCGATTTTCCGGGAATTTCTTAACCTGACGCTATACTGCTGTCCCTAATTTTCGGCTATTTGCCTAGTGCATGAAAAAGATGTGTCACAAACTAAAAATAACTAGCCAATCGTAATCATATTTAGTGGATAGTCTTCCTGGATGTTCGCCCTCGTGTCTTTGGATAAAATTATTTGTTTTACGTGAAATTTTTTTGAAAATTCACAGTAAAACGAGCGGCTGATGAACCATCGACAGGAAAGTAAAGTAGGTCTAGGCTTTTCACAGTCCAACAGGTGATCAATACTTTGCTTTATTCAGACTCTGCGGAGTCATAATTTCATGAAGAATACGTTCACAGTTGAAGTGACACATTCAGCTCGAATAATGAGGAGAATCTTGAATATTATAAATCTAAAAATAGATCGGTAGTAAGAGAAGGGGGCTTGTCCCTCAAACAGCAACATCTGGTGCTCACTTTGTAAAACAATCTTGATCCTTTTGAGTGGATTGGCACACAAAGGTGGGAAATTGTCGCTAGATAAGAGATAAGTCGTTTTTCTACAATGTCTCCAAGTTTCATCTTGTTCTAGCCACTTGTTTGCATGTAACAAATATTTTTGTATATCATGTTGGTTTTTTCACGTTAATGCTCAGGAGCTCAGGTATAGGGGACAGTTAGGTTTAGGGCCTCAGGTCTGGTAGGGCTAACACCCCCCCCCCCCCCCCCATCCCCAACCATTTCTTCCTTCTCTTCTCTCACCCCTTCTCTTTCTTTTGATCTTCAACTCTTCTACCCCTCTCTTCTACTACATCCTTCCTCTCTTCCTTTCCTTACTTCTGCTCCCTTTTCTTTGTCACATGTGAATATGCTAAGTTCAACATGCAGAAGATATAACATGAAAATAACTACTACTAAAACATAAGAAATGCAGGTCAACAGAATCCTTAGTTCGCTACCAATCGAGTTGATTGGCACTTGTCTGAAACAAGTTAAATAATGTAAAATATCTAGAAAGTATATTCTTGAAGGATGGAAGAATAGTTCTGGAAATAGAAACAACGAGCCAGTGCACGTAAATACCAATGGACATCCAGACATAAGTAAGAGTGCCAGGAAACAGATTATAAACAGCATAGTCTGAGGTGAAAGCAAGAGGCTGCCCTAGGGGAACAGATTGATGACATTGAAGAGCTTCTACATCGACACGAAGTGACAATAGCCATTGCTGCCCATCAAGCAATCGATCGCAAACTTTTCCTCCTCCCAAATGGGATGAAGTTCCTTCTTGCGATGCTGCTGCTTATAATAACTCTGCTTGTAATTCTGGCTTGCTAGGGAACAAACACAACTTCCACAATAAACAAAGCTGAACAACACTCAGTTTCTGACATATATTCTACCAGTTTATTCCTTCTAATTCCTCCACTCGATTCAGTCACAGTTAATTCAGTCCCAGCCATCACTACTCACTTTCTCAGTAATCCTACAATCATTCGCACAGTGCGTAATACACTGCAGACGTCTTCTTCAGGCTCTAGTTCCCAACTGGCCATGAACCAACCTTAGAATTCACCTCATTTACCTCTCCAGCCCCAAGTATCTCGTACCATCGTTTATTGCACAGGTTTTCTGCTCGACATGCTGTGACTGTGGAGACCATGCAAAGCAGGGTCATCACAGCACCGTTTAAAGGCAGAAGTGGAAATCGATGATGATTGTATTTGTGTGCAGATTTTCGATTCCTTACTTCTCAGGCAGGTGCAGCACTACTTCGAAAGATATTAGGTTACTGATTCATCTATTTTTATAGTCACACTGTTACAAAATAGTTACAGGTGTTGTGGTTTTCTACCCCACCTTGTGACGGTCTAGCAAGCTGGCAGTGGTTAAAGTAATCACTGCTGTACAAAGAAGATTGGTTACTGATTTAACATTGAATTAGTATTGAATTATACTCATTTTCTTTACTGTATTGTTACCATATTGATTTAATTGCAGAGATTTTTGGTAATATTTTATTTATCGTTACATTTTATAATCTGATATTTAAAAGGTAAAGAGCAACGAACAAGAAAACAGAACTGAGATCTATCAGAAAACAGTTGAGGTTCTTGAACCACATGTCAACAAATTGATGCAGTTCATGTTTTTCCAGGTGAGGGTTATGAGCCATGACATCAAGACAGACTTCTGTTACTCTTGAAAGAAATGTAAAATTTTTCTGCAAACTCACAATAACTTGCCATTAGAAATAGATTACATAGTTAAAAAAAAAAATCAGCACTGTCATAAGGTATGTCCTTTGCACAACTTACTGGGAAGTCCTTTTAGTCTTCTGCTAATTAAAAACATCAGTGGTGTCACTTAAATGATTCCAAGGCCCAATTTTGGGGAAAATTAGAATATACCTATTGCCTCCCCAACAAGCATGTCGTAGAAATTGACTAATTGAGGGTTTTCTTCAACGTCTTGTGCACCTGCCTGAGAGGCAAGGAGTTAACAGTCTGCATATGAATAAGCCAAATATGTAAAAGGAATGTGAAATGAACACTCAGGATCTGAAAGAAGACTAGAGTCCAGAGATGGGCAAACAAACAGAACTTTCAGCCAGAGTTTACAGCCGGTGAATATGAAGAAGAAGAAGATGATGATGACTTGCACTGATTACTTACATGGTAATCTACAGCATAGTGAAAACTACAGAGGAATTATGTTGCTGTCAGTTCCCCGAAAAATATTAAGTAGGATTATTTTAGAAAGACTAAAAGATGCTACTGATAAAACGCTAAGATAAACAGGCAGGTTTTCAGCAAAACAGATCCTGTGCTGACCAGATCCACATTACATATAATAATAAACCAATGCATTGAATTCATTTACCACTTTACATTGGATTATAGTCTATGAAAAAGCTTTTGTCAGCATTGATAGGGAATCTTTCTATAAATTATTGGGGCACTATGGACTACTGAATGTTGAATTAAGAATCCACATCATAAGCACTCGGGACACTCCCATAAGCGCTCTGACCCCATCTTCGGCAGCAAACAAAGAGTTCAAATTTCGTTGGCACCTGTAACTGTCCCCAGAGGTGTGTATGTGATACATATTTGGTTTGCCGACTGTTGCACAAAGTGCTGCAGGTGAAGTTATGTCTCAAGGTAGCTGCAGACATAGATTACCCTTTGCACAAAGCTCTGGGTGCAGAAGACACAATCAGACAGGTTTGCATCCTGGAGAACATTAGGCAAGGAGAGGAGTGGATCAAGGTGGCAGCTGAACAGTCAGACTTGTGTAGGGTCATAATCACATTGAGCCGAGAATGCAAAAACTGGCCAGCAGATGCCATGGAGGTGGAAATTTAGCAATTATTTAAAGATAAAGCTTGTTCAGAGGATGTGATTATTTATACAGATGGTTCAGTGTCAAGAGGCAAAAGAAGTGATTGAGGTTTCTTATCGAAAGGTAATCGTTGACGTTTGGGGCAGGAGAGCCTAGCATATGATACCACAGCATCCAGCTTAAAAATGGAAATGAAGGCGGTCACTGCAGCTTTCCACTGGTTAGAGAACCAACACACACACACACACACATTGTGATTGTGACTCAGAAAGCAAGCTGAGGAAGGTCAGGACAGGCATGCTTCGTGCAGAGTGGCGTGCTTCCCTGGGGTGAGGAGTATTGTCTGGTTTTTTTGTCGGGGACATGCCGGGTATGTTAGGAAATGAACAGGGTTTAGGATAGACTGGCTGGCTCTGCACAACTTGGTGGAATACTGATACATGATAAGACAGATGTGGTAAATGCCTTGTGGGAGAGAATGTACATTTTGGAGGAGCCGATGGGTCACCACAGTCTGGTGAGATTTGTGCAGCGGGGTGGGGAGAGTGGTTCTGGCCAATGCTTGAGGCTCAGAGGAAAGGCAAGACAGAATCAGAATGCTACTGGCATCATTAGTATTGGAACTCTGCACTGGCTGCTGTAGATGGGATCGGAGCGCTTATGGTAATGCCTTGAGTGCTGTGATGTCGGTTCTTGAATCAACTCAACTTATTCGTGGAAAACTCATTGCAGCATGTTGGCCTGCCGTCTTGAATAACAAATGTTTCTTCCTTTTATTCTTTGTTCGGGTCATTTCTGCATTGAGAATAGTTCTGCTGTGGTAATCTGTGTGTACTGACACAGGCACTCTAGATATTGCACATTTTTATTGATTAAACACACAGGGTTTTATGTGTGTCTGACTTAGTATAAATCATGGATAGCTGTGGCATGAATGGGTAAGTTATTTAACAAAACCTTTGGTTAATTACTAACTAGCTCTAGGATGCTGAATGGGCTACCTCAGATTGTTGGCAACTGAGGATAGATATGTAGCAAACAGTGTGTCAGATATTTATGGTTTCTGAGACCTATTGAATAAAACCAACTGAGATTTTTGTCATTTGGCATGACATGTGACCGTCACAGAGCGTCATCACAGGCAGAAAAAGACACTTTCTAAATGAGCATTTCAACATAGACATCTGTTGACGGAACATAAAATGCAGTGGTGATAATGATTCTAAATATTCGGTACATCAGTTCTACATAAGTAGAAAATATTGATGCATGGTGAATCTGCTTAAGTGATTACAGGCATTTTAAAAGACTTATGTTTATTTTCTTAAGGATAAAATAAGACAGGCAGATTCTGCTTATACACAGACAAAAGTTTAACTCAGATTAGTTATTATTAAAATTGTTTGTATTTTCTTTATGATACATTAGAAATTTAAATTACCTGCCATACATTATTTATCCCGCTGGTTTTTATATACTAATTTCTCAGAAAAAAGCTATAGACCTGTTTTGTGAAGAGGTAAAAAGACTTTGCCACAAAGAAAAGAGACAAGATTTCATTTCTGAAGCTTACTTGTTAACCCTGGGGAAGCTAATCAACATGTTTGCGGAGCTTGATGAACTAAAAAACATGAAAGCAAGTGTCCGTAATGACTATTCAGCATACAGAAGGTAAATGCTGTATTAATGTTTCTGTCCTTAGATTCTTCTTTTTCTGCATTTCGAGCCCTTGATGTTCATTGCTGCAAATAACACCCACCTCCATACATATCTTTGGTTGACCTTTTCTTTCCACATTGTGACACCAAGTGTTTGCAGGTCTACCTGGATATTATCTGTCCACAATTTTCTTGGTCTGCCTTGTGGTCTATGACCATTCAACTGTCTTTTTTTTTTAAAATCTCTTGGTCATGTGACACTATTTTATTATGTTGAGATTGTTTTATTATTTATATTGAATATACACACCAGTTGATCAAAAAGTATAAATGCAACCAAATTTAATAGTTCTCCAGTTGCTTTAAAAGAAATAGACATTAGCAGTCATGACTTTAATCCTCCATGACCCATGTTCAAGTGTTTAAACAGAATATATAAATACTCTGAAATTATTATTCTTTTTTCAGCATTCTGAGCTCTTGCAGATATCGTTTGCCTCCATTCATCTCTTTGTTTGGCCTTCTCTTTCCAGTTCCCATGCTCTCAGATTTTTTACTCTATTTTTTTTTTGGTATGTGGTGCTGTTGATTTATAATGCTGTTTAACCCACATTGTTGTAGCCAGGTTTCGTTCTGAATTCTTCTGAAGTGCCTGCTGTTGTCAAATATGGAGCAACAGTATTACAAGTTTTCACTTTCTTCATCCTTCTTTAAAAAAAAAAAACATATCGCAACCAGTGTATCCATGAATGAATTAAGAGTTGACATCAATTCATTCAGAATATCCTTACTCATACTCTCCTTCTTCTGTAGCCAGTGAAGAGTTCCTAATCTGACACTGGTATATCTAATTGTTTGCCATTGTGAATTTACCCTCCTGTAGAACTTGATATTGCTTAATTAACCATCTATGAAATTAACAGTGTCTGGTTAGTCTATTTATTATGTGTCCTTGATTCACATTCAATTGCATGTCAGACTTTATGTAACACTATCTGTACCCGGCCACGCGTTGCTGTGACCCAGTGTGGCTAACTGGAAAAGAAAGAAAATAGAAACTGCACATGTCTAATATTGTTAATTTCAGTCTTTGCGCAGAAAGTCCAGTTTGCCGACGCAAGAACACGCAAAAGATCATTGTGTCCTTATATTAGTGGTTGTTTAAAGTGTATTATAAAGACTTTTAAAAAAAAACAGTTGTTTGATTATCACATGCTAAAGCTTGTTGCATTTTTAAAGACTTCAAAGTAAAGTTTACTACTGAACGTCTAAAAAAAATTGCACCTAAAAAAATGAGAATAGCTGAGGTAGCATTATTAAAAAAATAAACCTCAGAATAGCTGCAGACAAAGAACATCCTCTTTTTGAAGCTTTGGCTGCAGGTAAGGGTCAGAGGCTGAAAAGGGGAAAATCATAGATGGCTCAAGCAGAAGACACAATAAGATAGGTATGCATGCTGGAGAACTTTGTGCGAGGAGAGGAGTGGGCCAGAGTATCAGAGGACAAGTCTGACTTGTGTAGGGTTATGATCACATTGGGTTGGGAGTGCAGAGAATGGCCAGCGGGTGCTACGGAGGATGAAGTCCAACAGTTGATTCACGACAATTAACGCCCAGGTGATCTGATTATCTATACAGATGGTTCGGTGGTGAGAGGCAAGAGAAGTGCCTGGGGGTTCGTAGCGAAAGCCAATGGAAAATCTTTAGTGCTGGACAGCCGAGCATACGAGACCACAACATCTAGCATGAGAATGGAGGTGAAGGCGGCTAGATGAAAAAATGCATACACATATCGTAATTGTAACACTCTGAAAGTATCCTGAGAAAGGTGAAGACAGGGATGCTTCGAGCAGAGTGGCAAGCTTCACTGGAAAGATCATGGGTAGTGAGCATACTTTGGATCTTTTCTTCTGGTCATGCCGGTAATGAACAGGCAGACAGATTAGCTGGATCTGCACCACTGGGTGGTGAAGTGATGAATGACAGGGCAGATGTTGTCAGGGCTCTTTGGGAACAAGGAACAGAATCAGTAGAGAAACAAGATTATTATGGCCTGGAGAGAATGAGGCACCTGGGTGTAACCAGAGGGTTTGGCAGACTCGCTACACTTAGAGGAAAGGCGAGATGGACCTATAACCAGATTGTGACCGGTACTATTAGTATTGGAACTCTGCCCTGGTTGCTGAAGATGAGGACAGAGCATACATGGGAATGCCCAGAGTGCTGTGATGTCAATTCTTGACTTAACTAACTAACTATTAAAATATAAATAATTGAAAAATGAAAACTGTAAAAACATGTTTTATGCTCTTTCAGTTAACAGTTTCTAACCCCCCCCCCCCCCCCCCCCAGTCAGTCAACTGACTGCTCCTCTGTCCCTGTCTAAAGGATTTGAAATTCATCACTCATATTTTTAAATTGATCTTGGCATCCCTATCCACCTGGACTAGAATGGGTAGCAGGAATTGTAATTAAAAGTGAATGCGGCCAGTGTAATATTTACCACATCACCAATTGACCATCAAGTAACAGTACTACTACTACTACCACCACCACCAGCACCATAACAACTAAACAAAAAACTGTCACTACTGCATGTTTTACCACCTGTCTAGGTCGACAGAGAAGCCACATGACTAGTGCTGCCACCACAGACTGTTTAGATTAGAATATTCAATTGTGACCCCACAGAAAAACTCACCTTACTGGGAGTCTAACCCGGGTCTCCCGTATGAAAGCTGGACGTTGTAACACTTTTAACCACCTGGCCAACCTCAACAACTACTACTATTCTGTTACTACTGCCACTGCCATTACTATGAGCAGATTAATCTTGTGGGCAAAGCGATAACTGTGACTTCCCAAACTTGGGCAGTAGTGATGTCCAGTGACATGCATATCGCAAAGATGGTGGTGAATATGGGAGTGCAGCCTGCAGCACCAATGACAAGAGTCATCTGATTAATCACAGTGCTGAGGAACATATAAATCATTACAGTCTGAGGAGAATGGCACTATGAGGAGTTACAAGGGAATCTGGCCGACACTCGACACTCAGGGGAAAGGCGAGACGGATATATCATCAGACAGTTACTAATACCATTAAAATTTTAACTCTTTGCTTGATGCTGAAGATGGGGACGGAGCGCTTATTGAGGTGTCCCAAGTGCTGTGATGTCGATTCTTAATTCAACATTTGCCACAGAACAGGCGTCATTAGCTGTTTTTCTGCTTGTGGAGCTGTAGAGGAAAAAATAGGAGATTATATAGATCTGTTCGAAATGCTGTGATGATTGTTCTTACCAATCAGTAATCTTTCATTCCCATATATTTTCATTCCCATAAGTCTTTCAACAGCTCTCTTTTTATTTCCACAACTAATAATGCCAGCTTGTTCTTAATCCCACATATTTATATTTCCAAACAGTTCTTTCAACAACTCTTTGAAAGAAATTATTATATCATACAGCTTTATGCAGATTCCTGATGTCAACAGTCAGAGTTTGGAAACTCATCAATCAAAAAGAAATTGGATTATCGGAAAAAAAAACCAAGATACCGAGGAGATTGTCACTGAAACTATGTAGTTTGTGCTTTGTGCGACACTCTTGTATAAAAACATGCATATTCTAATGCAACTTTTTGTCAACATTTCAAAGCAATCAGTGAAGAATTGCTGGCATACACCTTCCAGCAGATTTCTGAGGTCAGCAGTTAAAGTTGGCCTACCAATAAAAACCTGCGCCTGGAATGTAATTGGTGAAGAACTTTAGGAGATTAGCTATCACTAACAAACGAACATTTACATTTTTATTTTATACAACATAACATGTTTTCTTAACTTTAATGGGTAATCCATAAATCCTTTGAATATTTCCCTAGAAAATGGTATCTGCATTGAGTATCATTAGCTTTATGAAGACTTTTGTTTGTTGTATCATTACCATTTTGCAAACTGTATAGAGAAGAGTAAAAAGAAAATATATGTTTTTTCACATATCAATATACTGTTATGTTTCAGTGATTTTTCTCTTTGACTGTTTAATAGGGCAGCACAGTTTTTAAAAGTGATGGCTGACCAACAAGCCATGCAGGATTCACAGAACCTGTCAATGAATTTGGCAACCCAGAATAAAATTAGGGATACATTGAAATCTCGACTTGGAGAAATACAGGTACATTTCTTCACTATTTTAGTGTGCTGATTAAGAATATATATTGCAGAATAACGAAAACATGCAGATGAAACTGTACTTTCGTCATGCCATGTTCCATATTTCTCTTGATTACTCAATTTCTACTTTCATTAAAGATCAGCTGTAAGTATAGTCTGCAGCCCTTTCTGTCTCTAGTTGATACATCTAGAATCTCATTATTACTGCAACTTTACTGGCTGTTGGAATTTAGAAGGAAAAAAAAAGCTGAGAAAGATATTTCCTTGTATTCTTTCAGCATTTCTTATTTGCCTTTACTTTAATGCTGTGACATATATCTTAAGATAGTCAGCATTGGCGATGCAAACATTTCACTTGTTGGTATTTTCCACTAGCCAGAACTCTGCCTTGAATTTAATTTAGCTCACTCAGCAGGTATTTGAGTGATTATGTACTTTACACATTATATTTGTGCCTTAAAATAGCACACGTTTGAACACATTAAAAATATTCAGCTTTCTATATGTAATTGTGACTAAAATCAGTTTGCGTAGTTGTGTATATTGCTTCTTTGTTCGACCTATAGAACAAAAACAAGTTATTACATTATTTTAAGACTGATATCATCACTGTACATTGAGCAAAGATTATTTTGGCGACTAATACACACAGTATCATCATCATGTGCCGTGCTGGTAAGCGTAAGCTGTCATGGTTAACAATCACCATAATCATGGATAGGTTCAACACAGAGTATGGGGCAAAGCAATAACATCAAACTTGTGTAACCGAAATATATTTAGAAATATTTACTCACTGTGCAAATAAATATCAAAATAGCGGAGTCACTTTATCGTATCATGTCAGAATACTGTCTTACCTTTTTTGTATGTGAACTAAACTGTATATTAATCTCTTTACTGTGACGATCTGAGCCAGAACGCTGCACAACTCCATAACTGTGCAGGTTACAAACCCAGTGAAGATAGTGGGCGTAGGCCTCTGCAAAACTTTCTTATGTCACTGCTGCCTTCGTTGGATTGACCTGTGCACCAGCTTCACCTGACCAACAGCCTATGCGACTGAGTTTTATTTGTAGTTCTCCGGCACTCTGCTCTGTGTCTTTACCCTGAGAATGCCCTAAAACATCATCAGCATACAAACAATGTCTTCCCCTGTCCTGTGATCTGCTTGCCTAGGATTCTCATTGTGTAAACATTGAACAGGCCATGATGTATAGTTGTAGGCTCACAAGTCCAACTGCCACATCTAAAAAAAAAATACTACTTCCCATTGGAAGAGGGCTGCAGCGACTTATTTTGATTGAGTTCATGAAGCTGAAATTTAAAAAAAAATCCTACAGTGCTCTGTTGTACTCATCCTCACTATCTCTGTCTGTTTTGTGGAAATCATTTATTGAAATTTTTTGCAGTTTCTTTTTGAAGATCACATTACATGTCTTTCAAAGTCAGTATCCTCCATAAATTATAAATGTAAAGATCAGGTTTTAAAAGCTATCGAGCTGCAGTTAATAATTTATTTTACGAAGTTATAAAATAAATAAATTTATAAATTATAACATTTGGGCAACAAAAAACACACATTGATAAATCATAGCAATTTGTGTAAGTGATTTTTTTTTTAAATCATAAACTCTTACAAACTAAAACGTTGAAAACAGGGATGAATGCAGTTAACCTAGTATATAAATAACTGATCTTGACTAAGAAGCTTAAAAAAAAAGGAGAGGGAGCTAGTTTAGTCATTCCTTATAAAAAAAAAGAAGAAGTTTATATATACAGTTTACTTCTGTGTGTTTGTTAGGGCTATGATGAACTTTTGGCTGATGTGGTCAACATATGTGTGATGATGTATGAAAAAGACATGTATTTGGAACCAACAGAAAAACACATGCTGGTCAAGGTAAGTTTTTGTTTTTGTTGTAAACTTTAAAGATAGTGCTGGTAGAGATTATGCAGCCTGTGACATTCAAACTAGAATATATATATAAACACAACTGATTACCAGTATGTCATATTTAAAATACAGCCTGTTAGCTGTTTCAACCAATTTGATTGTTTATAATTAGGTCTCTATCATTTTAAAATATTTTTTGCATAATAATTCATTGTTTTGTTGCTAATTTCTTTTACATAGTAATAGTATTAATGTCTAAATTTTGAGTCTTTCTTTTGTTCATTTTTTTGCTTTGTGCTGCTAGGTGTGGCAGGCTAACAGATGATTGGTTTTGAGCTAGGGCACGCTCAGTTGTCCGGTATGCTGTGATGTTGTGGAGTCTCAGGATATCAGTGACTCTTCAATCTTCTTCTTGGTTGTCCCCGACCTCTTATTGTTTCTACTTTCATTTTGTACACTCTTGTTGCTGGCATCAATGGATTCATTCTAAATCACTAAACCGTTTTTCATTGAGTTTAATTACAGGCATTGTTCCAATAGATCTTGTAATTTATTCATTTCTCACATGATTTTGAGTAATAACTCCTAAAAATCCATGCGGACGTCAGAAATTAGAGAAAATTGGTATAATTATCTCTAGAAATTTGATATAGCATAGAGATCCAACCTTTGCACAACCAAGTGACTGTTTCAGGTAAAATAGTTTGATCATATCTGTACACTGGCAAAACTGAACAAGTATTGCAAGTAGTGGAGGCCACCAAGCTAGTGTCATCTAGCCCTAGACTTGCACATTCAAATTCTGCTAGAAGGGATTCTTTGTTTATGACCACTGCAACTCAGGATGGAAGCAGTTAAGTATGTAAACAACCTTGTTAAACTAGTATGAACAACCTTGTTATACACTCAATATCAAATGATTGTTGTTTCTCATATTTGCAGGTCATGGCATTTGGACTGTTTATGATGGATGTGGAAAGAGGTCCCAATATATATCGCATGAATGACAAGAAAAGAATTAATATCCCAAAGATTGACAGAATTTTCAAGGTATTCTAACTTCTATGTATTTTAATTTTACATTGTCTTGTAATATTATAATATGGGGGTTATGCTTAATGAATATAGACTTTTTAAAACCATATATTTGCACATCGTAATTAAATTTGTCATCATGACATCATGTTTCAAGTGCCATGTAACTTTTAGTTAAGAATATCACTTCAGTTCCTGTAATGGTACCATTTGTAATCTGGTTATATCTCTCTCTCACCTTTCCTCTTACTGTAGTGAGCCAGGCATACCATCTGGTTACACCTAGGTGTATCATTCTCTCCAGGCCATAATAATCTTGTTTCTCTGCTGATTTCATTGCTTGTTCCCAAAGGGCTTTGACCACATCTGCCTTGTCATTTATTAGTTCACCACCCAGTGGCGCAGATCCACCAGCCAGTCTGCCTGTTTATTCCCCACCATGCTGGCATAGCCTGGAGAAAAGATTATTCACTCAAGTATACTAAAGGTCTATGTTTAATACTAGTAGCATAGATATGCTGGGGTTTCGTGATGGGTCCTAATCTCTCATGAAATTTTGCGGTTGGTGTGATTTTCACCCACTATAAAAAGCTGAAAATTGCGGGAAGGAACCCGATTACCAGCGCATGTCTACGACAGCCGGACGTCCTCTGTTTTTCTGTTACATCAGTTTGATTGGAAATAGCGATAAGTATTCAGGGTTGGCTTTTGGCTTTAACTGTTACTGTACCTGGTAATGCTAGTTATAATTGAATTCTCCGTCCAATTTTACATTTGTGTATAAAATTTCTTTCTGGTATGTGGCAAGGTAGATGTACAGTGACATTTTTCAGGCAATCGCTGGCTCAGCCAGTCTCATTGTCTGCCATCTTGTCCAATGCAAACAAAGCCAAAATGAAAATTGCGCAGTTTGGTTGCGCAGAGAAAACTTCTTGTGTTTTTAGCAGCTGTTTTTTACATCTCATCTCCACAAAAACCTACATATCTCAGCTCAGAAATGACATAAAAGCCTAAATGAGGTACCGTTGGAAAGAGATTGTTTACAGCTATCAAACTGTGCTGGTTTTATTGGTGTAGAGGGCATTTTAAAAATTTGACTAAGGTACCTATATATATATATATATATATAAATATATAATCTCTCCATGCTCAAATTGTTTCTTATTCTAGCAACTGCAGATGGTTCCCTTGTATGGTGACATGATCATTGCTCCTTACAACTACATCAAAAATAGTCCTAATTTTGATCCCTCCAAGTGGCCAGCCTGTGAATCTAGTCAACTTAGCCCGCAGTCAAACCTGTTGGGCAGTCTAGAGCAGATCAAAGATCGGCACATGCAGTATATTAGTCAGCTGGCAAGGCATAACAATGAGGTATGCATTAAAGTAGAAGTGTTGATTTTCTATTTGTGTTGGCTAGAATGAGTGACAGCTGATTGGATTCAAGCAGTTATTATTATTAAGTGACACTCTACAAGTGCAGATGATGTTTCAGTGAAAGAGGCAAAAATACTTCAGTGTAAAACATTAATGCAATACATCTGCTAAAGACATCCATCTTTAAGGCTTTTATTGTTAGTAGACTGTTCTTATCCTTGTAATAGGAATTTTTTATTTCATAAGTAGAAGTTTTTCCTATGGCATTAACTACTATATAGTTTGAAAAAAATCTTCCTTCGAAGTTAGAGGAACCAACAGTCTGCTTACAAATAAGCCAGACCTGTAAAACAGATATGCACACAAAACTCATATTATGGAACAAGACTGAAGTCTAGAGGTCGACGGACATCTAGGACCTTTTGCTGGAGTCTACAGCTGGTAAACACAAAGAACAAGAGGTATTCTTATTTACAAACAACACAAGTCTATGAGGAGTAAAAATATGAGAATGAATGAATCAATCAAGAAATTACAGCACTGCACTCGGGAAATACCTACACATGCTTCGCCACTTCTTCAGTAATCAACAAAGAGATGACATGCTAAAAGTACCAGTTGCAACCTGATTAGAAGTCTGTCTCTGTTTCCCCTTCAATGTTCAATATCTTCCAGAACCTCTACAAACCCCCTGTTGAATTAGTCTTTCAGTGTATTTATTCTCTGTTTGTTCTTTTGCACTGTCCATTTGATTCCATAGAGCTGCACCACATTGGCTGTATAATATAGTAGCCCACTCTCCAGCGGAGCTGCAGCATCTAATCTATCAGCCTGCTCATTACCACACACACCTGAATATCCTAGACAGAAAACCCATGATATGCTGTCGATCTTGGTCTTATCAAATGATGCAAGCCACTCTGTGAATCGGACACCAATTTCACTTTTCCTAAACATGCTCTGTGAGTTTGTTATAAAAACATAGGCTGTGATGCTCTCAGGCCATCAGAAAGCTGCTGTCCATTACTGCCTCCACCTCCATTCTCATACTGGATGTGGTGACATTGAATGTGAGACTCTCTGTTTTCAAGCGGTGGTCATTCACCTTTGCAATAAAACTTCACCCACTCTTCTTACCTCTCACTACAGGCCCATCTTTATGTATTATGATGACACCTTGGCATGAATTTTTATTGATCAGTTCTTGCACTGCTTACTGGAGTAAGAGGAGAAAGCAGAACTAAGCACATTCAAATCTTCCTGTTTGCACTCAGCATATGAAAAATCATCACGTGCCCAGCCAGCTGGCGTAAACGCTCATACATCTCCACAGATCATGATCCC